CACCTCACTCCAGGGGAAGGTTACTGCAAAATCCCCATTTCCATCCCACTCCAGGGGAAGGATACTGTAAAATCTCCATTCTCACCTCACTCCAGGGGAAGGTTACTGCAAAATCCCCATTTCCATCCCACTCCAGGGAAGGATACTGTAAAATCTCCATTCCCACCTCACTCCAGGGGAAGGTTACTGCAAAATCCCCATTTCCATCCCACTCCAGGGGAAGGATACTGTAAAATCTCCATTCCCACCTCACTCAGGGGAAGGTTACTGCAAAATCCCCATTTCCATCCCACTCCAGGGGAAGGATACTGCAAAATCCCCATTCCCACCTCACTCCAGGGAAGGATACTGCAAAATCCCCATTCCCACCTGACTCCAGGGGAAGGTTACTGCAAAATCCCCATTTCCTCCAGATCAGGTGGGACTTGGGAGGCAGAGAATAGATGGGGGTGGGGCCAGTCAGAATTTTTACTACCGGTTCTCCGAACTACTCAAAATTTCCGCTACCGGTTCTCCAGAACTGGTCAGAACCTGCTGAAACCCAACTCTGGGTTATATCTACTGGTCTCCATGGTAGGCTGGGGGAGCTGTTTTGGGGTGGATTGAGAGCATCCTGTCATATTGCATTAGTGTCTGGTTTGTAAGCATTACTGCTTCAGACAGGAAGGCGATGCAGAGAGTGGTGAGGACGGCAGAAAAGATTATTGGCAGTTCACTCCTGGATTGGAACTGAACCAGATGGATATTTCTCCCAACACTACTGTGATCTGGAGACCAAGGACTTTTACCTACTTCTCGAAGTATCAGGGATTGAAATGGTGACCCCATGCATGGAAATCAGGAAATGTAACGCTGGTTGCAGCCATCTCTCTCTCTCTCTCTCTCTCTCTCTCTCTCTCTCTCTCTCTCTCTCTCTCTCTCTCTCTCTCTCTCTCTCTCTCTCTCTCTCTCCCCCTCTTTCTCTCTCTCCCCTCCTCTCTGCAGCAACTGATTCTACTAAAAGCAAGGAAGGAAAAGTGTTCCTTTATGTTTATTTAGATTAATACCAAACCTTAACCCTCCCCCTCAACTTCTGCATTAAAGGGGGGGGGGTTATTGGAAGATTTCTCCTATGCTGCTATTCGCAGTTCAAAATATAGCTCAGCGCCTGAAAATGTGTGAAATTACAAGCTGTGTCACGTTTTTTTAGCATACATTTAAAACCTACGTGTGCTAAATTCAGGAAGCTTTCATCTTCCTTTTAAGGGAGCCTCTCTTTTCCAAAGCAGCCTTCCATCATCAACCTGCTGCCCAGAAGGATATTAAACCAGGGTGGGTTGCTGGGGGTTCGCAGGGGTTCAAGAGAACCTCTAGCTAAGATTCTGTGCTGTTTGGAGAGAAGAGCCAGCGCTGTCTGAAGGCATCTCTGTGGTCATGTGGCCTGCATGACTAAACACCAAAGGGGCATAGAACGCTATTACTTTCCCACCAAAGGTGGTCCCTATTTTTCTACTTGCATTTTTTACCTGCTTTCAAACTGCTAGGTTGGCAGAAGCTGGGACAAGTAAGGGAGCTCACCTCATTACGCGGCACTAGGGATTTGAACCGCTGAACTGCCGACCTTTCGATCGACAAGCTCAGCGTCTTAGCCACTGAGCCACCGCGTCCCTTCAAGGACTATACATATAGACAATTAAGAAGAATTAAGTTCTTTAAGCAATTTAGCTGCAACAAGCTTCTAAAGTCCAGGAATATATAAAGAGAAATAGCACCATTTTGATTTAACCTCTACTGAATTTAATCCCAACCTACATTTTCACTCCAGAAGACGCCAAAGCCAGCAGAATTATTCTTGCCTCACCTGGAATTCTTGATTGGTTCCTTGGAGAGACAAGGAATAATCACTGAAAAATGTCCCCTTCACCTACTGTAAGTCTGACCAAGAATAAATAAAGCTCCTCTGTTTGGTTCAGCCAATTTTTGGATTTGATTTCGATTTTATTCCTGGATTGCTCAGAGGCACCAAATAACTGGTACCAGCCACAGGTGTCCACTACAAGGCGTGATGACATCACTGTACAAATGACACATCACTACTTTGATGATGATGATGTCATGATCTGTGTAACGTCGGGGGAGGGGGTTGTTTGTTTTTAATCTCATTTTTATTATTTTTATCAATAACTCATGGCAGTGTACATATAATACTCCTTCCTCCAATTTTCCCCACAAGAACAAACCCGTGAGGTGAATTGGGCTGAGAGAGAGAGTGACTGGCCCAAAGTCTTCTAGTTGACTTTCATGCCTAAAGCGGACTAGAACTCACAGTCTCCTGGTCTTTGGCCCAAAATCACCCAGCTGGCTGTCACGCATAAGGCAGGACTAGAACTCACAGTCTCCTGGTGATTGTCCCAAAGTCACCCAGCTGGCTGTCAGGTCTAAGGCAGGGCTAGAACTCACAGTCTCCTGGTCTTTGGCCCAAAGCCATCCAGCTTGGTTTTAGGCCTAAAGTAACACTAGAACTCACAGTCTCCTGGTTTCCAGCCTGTTGCCTTAACCACTAGGGTGAGATTTGTAGCTGATAGGAGATCCATGAAATCAAAATTAGCATGACACAACTGATGTGTCATGAGCAGGATTCTCATTATGATGTGACTTGTCCTGCTTGCCCACCTGCGGATGGCATAGCAGCGTCACTGTCATTTCTTATTCTTATTTTCTGCAGTTCCTACATTTCTGGCTGCCTCCATGGTTCAACCTGCTACTGCTGAGAATTATTAATTGCACCTAAACTGTACTTGGCCTGTGTGCTCAAAAGCACATATTATTTTGCTTGGAAAGAGTAAGAAAAAAGAAAAGAAAAAGAAAGATGATTGCTAATGGCATTTTCCGGCACCAATGGCTGAATATTAATTCTATTAGAATTTATACTGTCAACTCGCAAAACATCCCTGGCCTGCTCTCGAGTTGCCATAGGCAAGGGGGATGGGAAAACGGTGAAGCAGCACAGCAGCCAAAAACAAAAGCCCATTCCAGACATCTCTCTCTCAAGGCTGTCTCCCAGGGTTACCCACAGCGCCAGAGATGAGTGATCTCCACAACCCGCAAAATTGCTCTTTTGGCGAATGTGATTGATGACACACCCTGGGGGGAGGGGGGGAAACAGGGTCATGATTGGGGCGGTAAAAACGTGGGGTCAGAATTGGCTACACCTGGAACGTGCCGACATGAAGCTCCTAATAAATAACTGGATTTCTTTTGAAGCTTGGCTCGAGGCTCATGATTTAATTAGGGCATCTGGAACCCTGACATATACATTAGATTTCAATCCTCTTTGCCCTTAAAGAAGATCATAATGGATTCTTGGTGTCACTGAGAATAGGGACCTGAGACTGCAGAAAAACATTATTCCACCCTGAAACATTTGTGCTGAGTGGAGAATTTCAGGGAGGAATATTTTGTGTTTATCTTGGTTTTGGAGAAAAGATAACATTCGTTTACCAGGAGCTCCCCAGAAGCATTTCAGAGATGAAAAAAAATATTACTCATATTTGTTCATATAACTGATATTTAGATAAACATTCCTTATTGGTCTCGTGTGCTTTTTCACAGCGTGCAAAGACATCAGGGAGGGTAAACCAAAAACCCGATTTTGTCTTCAGTCAATCAACTGGGAAGCCCGTGAATTGGCAACAGGGGTGCACATAGAATGGGACAAGGGGTGGGCCAGCCACGAGAACATTATTATTCAAGTTCCTTCTCTTTGCAATGTTGCATGCATATCCCAAAGAGATAAGGTGTAGAGAAGGCACCTCCAAACTGGGCAACTTTGGACTTTTGTGGGTTAGTTCCTACCAAACCAAAATTGGCAACAACCTAGCACAGGGGTGTCAAACTCAAGGCTTAAATCCGGCCCATGGGGCCGGCCTGGAAATATGAAAGGACAGGCCCACGGTGCCTCTGCCAGCCAAAACGGGCCACGGGAGGAGGGGGGCTGTGTATAGCCCCCGCACAGCCCTTTTTTGGCCTCCCTGGCCCCCAGCAGCACTCTGCCAGCCACACGGAGGCCTCACGGGGCCTCCGAAAACAGGCCATGTGTAGGCCTCTCAGGGCCTCCGCATGGCCCATTTTTGGCCAGCAGAGTGCTTCTGAAGGCTGGGGAGTAGTGTGGAAAGAAAGAAGAGAAGAAAAGGGGAAAAGCGCATCTTGAGCCTGTGTCAAATGTCCACCATGACCATGTCCACCCTGGCCACGTCCACCATGACCCCGCCACCCTCCGACGTCAAACATAACCCTGATGCGTCCCTCAATGAAATCAAGGTTGACACCCGTGACCTAGCACAATTGCTGCGTTCATATCACATGCTCGGGCAAAAATTACCCCTACGCAATCAGACGCGCACCACCGAATGCGTTCTAGGGTGGTGTGCCAACCCTGAAGTAGCTAGTGAAGAAAAGATGCTTTTTCCCTGACTCCTTTTAGGACTCAAACCACCAAGAAGGAATGGATTGATGTTCCATCACAATAAAATCAGCCTCTTCCCTCCCCCCCATCCTGTTTTGTTTCTCTGGAAGGGACCTTGTAGGTCTCCAACAGTTGTTCAATTGCAGTTCCCAGCATCCCTTGCCCTGGTCCTATGCAGGCCAGTCTAGTACAGATAATGATTTACGGAACTGTGGAGGACGATCACTCTCAATTTGTTGGGAATTGGGAAGGCACTTAAAAAACCAACCACACACTTATAATGAACTATTGCTCTGGTGTACATCTGGAAATGGCAGCCTCAAAGATCACCATTGGGTACCAGATGGCAGAGATCACCTACCTTCAGCCACAAGGTCATTAACCTCTGCTCAAAGACAAAAGCCATCTGGGGCACTTAAGAGCTACTAAGCAGCGTTTTCCTGCAAAAAGCAACAATTTCTTTCCTCTCCCCTCTCTCTGCCCCACCCTGGCCGGCTCCCCTCCTTCCTTCCCTCCGTCTCCATGAAATAAAAATAAGCTAAGCGTATATACTCACCCCAGGTAAAGTTTTAATATTGTGCAGCGCATTCTGAGCTTCTAGTGCCGCTTTTCTGGTATAAAACGTTATGAAACAACAACCTACGGAGAGAAATAAAAAAAAAAGATTTCAGAAATTGCTGGGCTTTCCCAGATACAAAAAGAATGAAGAAATTAAAGGAAAAGAAGATTCGGATTATTTTACCACATGGGAATTATTTTACAAATGGTTAAATGACAGACACTGAGGCTAGAGGAGTGGAATTGGATAAAATATGGTCTACATGAGACAGAAAAATAGATGAACTATTATTTTGATGCTTCTATAATCGACACTTTGATGGAAGATAGTACATGTTGTAAAGATGATCGATATTATTGTATATTTGTTTATATATCACTGTATATTTGTTCATATATATATATGATTATAGTGACCATGATGATGTTTGTATGTTAACACTATGGACACCTGGAGAACACACTGATCAACATAGAACATAGAAATGGAATGTATGATATAAAACAATAAAAATATTTTTTTTAAAAAGAATGAAGACGATCGGGGGGGGAGGAGATGGAGAAGAAGATTGAGGAGAAGGAGGAGAGCTGAAGAAAAGAGGAGGAAGAGAAGGAGAAAGAGGAAAAGGAGGAGGAGGGAAGAGTATGAGATTACGATGAACATAAGAAGAGGAGAGATGAAAAGAGGAGGAGGAGAAGATTGAGGAGAAGAAGGAGAGCTGAAGAAAAGAGGAGGAAGAGAAGGAGAAAGAAGAAAAGGAGAAGGGGAAGAGTATGAGAATATGATGAACATAAGAAAAGGATGAGAGATGGAAGAGGAGAAGATTGAGGAGAAGGAGGAGAGCTGAGAAGAAAAGAGGAGGAAGAGAAGTAAAAAAGAGAGGAAAAGGAGGAGGAGGGGAAGAGTATGAGATTACGATGAACATAAGAAGAAGAGGAGAGATGGAAGAGGAGGAGTAGGAGGAAGAAGAAAAAAGATGGAGGAGAAGGAGGAGGAGGGTAGTGGAGAGAACATGATTTAGGAGCATCATTACGAGGATAGGAATGGTGGAATTCTAATAAGCCTCCATTAAAGGCAGAGAAGTAATTTTATAGTTTTATAGTTGAAGTCGAGAAGGGGGGAGCAGAAGAGGAAGGTGAGCTTCAATCATGTGCCTCGTATCTCAGGAGGACCCCTACTGTTTCAGCAAAGTGCTACGACTCCGAAATTAAGTTAACCAGAAGCCCGACTGTCACTGTGGCGTAAGTGATGAGGATACCCTTTCGTTCATCTCCCAAGGGGAGCTCTTGAATGAATGTAGTAGCAACTGCTGGAAGAAAACCACTCCTCCCCCCCCAAAAAAATACAACAGAGGACCAAGCATTAAAAGCACAACAAGAGATTCCAGACTAATTCCCCATTTGACTCCTCCATCTGGCTTGGCCAGTCTCTCTGTGACATAAATTAGATTTGCATCCTCACAACAATTAATATTTAGAAAGTTGGTGAAAACTTGGTTATTCAACCAAGTGCTGGGGAATTAGAGATGTCTTAATTGGATACGTAGGAAACGTACGGTGCTATTCCTGTATGCATTGTGATTTGATGAAATTAATTGGAATGTTTACAACTTTATAGATTATACCGCTACCTATTTTGTCAGTGTGCTACACATTTGACTGTGCCTGGAAGCCATTTAGATTTGTCTAAACTGATGTGGCATAAAAATACACACTAACAAATGAACTCCTTTCCATTTATTTAGCCTTTTTTTCTGTCAACTGGCAAGCTAAGTGTATCGTCTCACTAATAATGGTGGTTGAAGGCAGAGAAATGTGCAAAACCCGACAGTTTTGTCAAAATGGTGAAATGAGCCTAGCCTCGTCGCAACACAAATTCTGCCGCTTGTGTACACTCGTAAGTGTGACTTCAGGTTGTGATCATCATGGGTTGTGACGCAGGGGTGGGTTCTGCTTACCCTTACTACCGGTTCACAACGGGGCCGCACATGCGCGCTCGCTTCGTTCGCACGCGCAGAAGCTTCGTTCGCACGCACAGAAGCATTTTGATGACATCGGGGTCGGTGGGCGGAGCCTCCCACCGGTTTTACTACGGGTTCTATAGAACCGGTGCGAACCGGGGGCAACCCACTACTGTTGTGACGGGGCTAGGCTCATTTTAGCGTTTTTCCCATCCTGTCCCTTGCTTAGACTTCGGGTTGCACAAAGCTATTTGTCTCACAAATCTTCATCAATCTCTGAAGCAACCGATACAGAGATTCTTGATTTAAGCATGTTAGGTTTCGGTCCATCAGGTTTCTGAGATTTAAGGGGAAAAAAATGATCTGAACCGTGGTAATGTTACAGACTAATCATTTAGCAGCTGTCATTTGGAGTCCTTCCCCGTGTGCACCGGCTGGAAAGAAGAAGGGAAGTGGATTATTCGAGGATCTGATGTTTGGGGAATGGAACAGCCACTGGCTTTACCCTGTTTCCCCGAAAATACTACCTGAAAGTAAGCCCTAGCTTGATTTTTACACATGCACCCAATATAAGCCCTACCCCCAAAATAAGCCCTAATTAAGATCCTGCCCACTCCAGAGTGCACAGGTAAAAATTAATCTACGATTGGGATCGGGGTGGTGGAGCTGCCCTACTAACCTTTGGACAGTTGCAGCCAGGTCTCGCACAACCCGACACCTGCCTCGCTTGCCCATTTCTTCTACAGCCAGCAAGGCTTTCCTGAAGGCCTCTGTAGCTGAAAACAAAGCTCCGGATTGATCCGGAGCTCTGTTATCGGCTACAGAGGCCTTCAGGAAAGCTTTGCTGGCCACAGAAGAAGTTCCTGAAGGCCTCTGACAGTGAAAAGGAGGCTGGGTGTGTATGTGTGTGTGTGTGTGTGTGTGTGTGTGTGTGTGTGTGTGTGACGTGTGCAAGTGAGGTTAGTCAGTGAATGACATCCCCCGAAAATAAGACCTGGTGCATTTTATTGGTGGCAAAATATATATATATATAAAACAGGGTCTTATTTTCGGGGAAACACAGTAAAAATTTGAGAACATGAGAAAGGGATCACAAGAGCATATCTTTCCAAGTTTTCAAATGTTACTGAACATGGTCGAGAGGGCCCGCAACTTGGGTGTCCTCCTGGATTCCCGGCTGTCTTTGGAAGACCATCTTACGGCCGTGACCAGGGGGGCCTTCGCCCAGGTTCACCTGGTGCGCCCTTTCCTAGACAGAGATGCCCTCCGCACGGTCACTCATGCCCTGGTTACTTCTCGTTTGGATTACTGCAACTCCCTCTACATGGGGCTGCCCTTGAGGTGTACCCGGAGGTTCCAACTGGTTCAGAATGCGGCCGCGCACGTGGTTACGGGAGTTCCCCGTTACTCCCGTGTAATCCCTCTTCTACGTGAGCTGCACTGGCTACCAGTGGTCTTCCGGATCCGCTTCAAGGTGCTGGTACTCACCTTTAAAGCCCTACATGGCTTAGGTCCGGAGTATTTGCAGGACCATCTCCTACCCGCCCCCCACCGTCCTGTTCGATCTCACAGGGCTGCCCTCCTCAGGGTACCGTCGGCCAGACAATGTCGGCTGGCGACGTCCAGGGGTAGAGCGTTCTCCGTGGGCGCCCCTGTCCTCTGGAATGAGTTACCCACTGAGCTTTGGACGGCGCCTGATCTCCGCTCCTTCCGTCGGGACTTAAAGACCTGGCTGTTTCAACAAATGGGTTGACCTTGATCCTTGGGTTTTTCTTATTTTGATTGTCGTTGTTTTAACTGGGTTTTAATCATTTTGATCTTTTATTATTGTATATTTTTAACTTGTGTTCACCGCCCTGAGTCCTTAGGAAGAAGGGCGGCATATAAATGTTGGCAAATAAATAAATGGTCAAAAGAAAATCATATGGTATCTATCCATCTTCCATTTCTAAACCTGATAAAATCAAATGCTGGAAAAAAAAATGCTCTTCAACAATTCAGGGTGTCTACAGTGCTCTCTGAGCCAAGGTTGCTTTCTTGCAGACGTTTCATTACCAATCTAGTTAACATCATCAGCGTTAGTAAGGAATGGAGTTTGCTCTTAATTTATATTCTAGTGGCTTGCACAGTCTGGGTTGGTGGGGGCAGTTTTGGGTGTTTTTTGATCCTCAACTACCAATATTAAGTAAGACTCATTTCTATTCTCACTGGCTTTTGAATATTGGAGAAAATAAGCAGCATTATTTTGTCTAGGGGATTATAAGCTAAAAGATATGAAAAATGGTTGCAGGAATTGGATGTGTGTCATTTAATGACAACAAGGACTGGGGTCACGTAACAACAGTCTTCCAATTTCTAAGGGGCTGCCACAAAGAAGAGGAGGGGGTCAACCTATTCTCCAAAACACCTGAAGGCAGGAAAAGGAGCAATGGATGGAAAATAATCAAGGACAGAAGCAACCTAGAACTAAGGAGAAATTTCCTGACAGTTAGAACAATTAACCAGTGGAACAACTTGCCTCCAGAAATTGTGAATGCTCCAACACTGGAAGCTTTTAAGAAGAGATTGGACAACCATTTGTCTGAAATGGTATAAGGTCTCCTGCTTGAGTAAGGGGTTGGACTAGAAGACCTCCAAGTCATTCTGTCCTTGGCCCAAAGTCAGAGCATGGATCACCTGTGCAAGGAAGGGCAATGCAGCTGAACCTCTACTCCTTCCTTCTCCTCTTTCTCATTTGCAGCTTCCAGGTTGAACCATTTCATCCGAGGGAGGCATAATGTGTGCAGAATCAGAGGATGCGAGGTTCCTAATTGGGCCAAATCTCCCCAGGCCTTCCGTGCCCGTTGGCAATAAATATGAATGACGGTGCGGTTCAGTGAATCCCAGAAAGGAGCAACTTTAATTATGCAAGCAAGGTTGTGATGCTGGAGTCTCGGTGTGGCCTTTGAGAAGAAACGGAGGTGGAATTCCAGGAGAAAGCGGTCGAAAGACTGGATGGGGAGAAAGCAACACTAGAGAAAGGAAGACGAAGAAATATGCCGCATCGTCAGATTGTTCTTGGTGGGGCCGAAGGACAGAAATTGTGGGCTTAGCTCATGCACGGTGCATGAGTAAACAATG